GGGGACACTGGGGAAACTGGGGAAACTGGGGACACTGGGGACACTGGGGACCGTGAGGGGATTGGGGGGATTGGGGACATTGGGGACAACGGGGACAACGGGGACACTGGGGACACTGGGGACACTGGGGACATTGGGGACATTGGGGACACTGGGGACATTGGGGTCCCCCGGTTTTTTGGGGGGCTCACCCAGCTCGCTGTCCCGGATGCCCATGGAGCTCTCCAGCAGAGCCCAGGGGGGTTTTGGGGTGATCCCGGGGGGTTTTTTTGGGGTTCCTTTGGGATTTTGGGGTTCCTTTGGGATTTTGAGGTTCTCAGGATTTTGGGGTTCCCAATTTTGGGGGTCCCGATTTTGGGGTTCCCAATTTTGGGGGGCTCACCCAGCTCCCTGTCCCAGATGCCCATGGAGCTCTCCAGCAGAGCCCGGGGGGTTTTTTTGGGGTGATCCCGGTGGGTTTTTTGGGGGTTCCTTTGGGATTTCGGGGTTCCTTTGGGATTTTGGGGTTCTCAGGATTTTGGGATTCAGGATTTTGGGGTCCCCTGGTTTTTTGGGGGGCTCCCCCAGCTCCCTGTCCCAGATGCCCATGGAGCTCTCCAGCAGAGCCCAGGGGGATTTTGGGGTGATCCCGGGGGGTTTTTTTGGGGTTCCTTTGGGATTTTGGGGTTCCTTCAGGATTTTGGGGTTCTCAGGATTTTGGGGTTCCCAATTTTGGGATTCAGGATTTTGGGGTCCCCCAGTTTTTTGGGGGGCTCCCCCAGCTCGCTGTCCCGGATGCCCATGGAGCTCTCCAGCAGAGCCTGGAGGGTGTTTTTGGGGTGATCCCGGGGGGTTTTTTTGGGGTTCCTTTGGGATTTTGGGGTTCCCCCGGGATTTTGAGGTTCTCAGGATTTTGGGGTTCAGGATTTTGGGGTCCCCCGGTTTTTTGGGGGGCTCCCCCAGCTCGCTGTCCCGGATGCCCATGGAGCTCTCCAGCAGAGCCCGGGGGGTTTTTTTGGGGTGATCCCGGGGGGTTTTTTGGGGTTCCTTTGGGATTTTGAGGTTCTCAGGATTTTGAGGTTCTCAGGATTTTGGGGTTCAGGATTTTGGGGTCCCCCGATTTTTTGGGGGCTCACCCAGCTCGCTGTCCCGGATGCCCATGTAGCTCTCCAGCAGATCGTCCACCTTGGCCACCGCGCGCTCCTCGAACGCCGACGGCTGCGGGGGGTCGGCGATTTTGGGGGGATTTTTGGGGTCCCTCAGGGTCCCGGGGGCGATTTTGGGGTCCCCGGGATCATTTTTGGGGTCCCCGAGGGAGATTTTGGGGGTCTCTGGGGAGATTTTGGGGCCCCCAGGGGATATTTTGGGTCCCCAGGGTAATTTCAGGGTCTCCAAGGGAGATTTTGGGGTCCCCAGGGGATATTTTGGGGGAATTTGGGGTCCCCATGGGAGATTTTGAGGACCCCAAGGGAGATTTGGGGGTCCCAAGGGAGATTTTGGGGTCCCCAGGATGATTTTTGGGTCCCCAGGGGATATTTTGGGGGTCCCAGGATGATTTTGGGGTCCCAAGGGAGATTTTGGGGGTCCCTGAGTGGATTTTGGGGTCCTCAAAGGATATTTTGGGGGAATTTGGGGTCCCCAGGATCATTTTTGGGGTCCCCAGGAGATATTTTGGGTGTCACTGGGAGGACTTTGGGGGCCCCAAGGGAGATTTTGGGGGTCCCAAAGGATATTTTGGGGTCCGCAAGATTATTTTGGGGTCCCCAGGGGATATTTTGGGGGTCCCCGAGTGGATTTTGGGGTCCCCAGGGGATATTTTGGGGGAATTTGGGGTCCCCAAAGGATATTTTGGGGTCTCTGGGGAGATTTTTGGGGGTCCTGATGGAATTTTGGGGTCCCCAAGGGATAATTTGGGGTCCCCAGGATCATTTTTGGGGTCCCCATGGGAGATTTTGGGGTCCCCAGGATGATTTTGGGGTCCCCAGGGAGATTTTGGGGGTCCCTGAGTGGATTTTGGGGTCCTCACAGGATATTTTGGGGGAATTTGGGGTCCCCAGGATCATTTTTGGGGCCCCCGAGGGAGATTTTGGGGATCCCTTGGGAGATTTTGGGGGTCCTGATGGGATTTTGGGGTCCCCAAGGGAGATTTTGGGGTGATTTTGGGGATATTTTGGGGATATTTTGGGGACAGTTTGGGGATATTTTTGGGTGATTTTCTGGTGATTTTGGGATATTTTTGGGTGATTTTGGGGGTATTTTGGGTACATTTTGGGGTTATTTTGGGGGATATTTAGGGGATATTTTGGGGATATTTTGAGGATATTTTGGGTACATTTTGGGGATATTTTAGGTACGTTTTGGGGTGATTTGGGGATATTTTGGGGATATTTTGGGATATTTTTGCTATATTTAGGGGATGTTTTGGGTACACTTTGGGGATATTTTGGGGACAGTTTGTTGATATTTTGTTGATACTTTGGGGTTGTTTTGGGGATATTTTGGGGCTATTTTGGGATATTTTGGGGATATTTTGGGGATATTTTGGAAACATTTTGGGGATATTTTGGAAACATTTTGGGGATATTTTGGGGATATTTTGGAGATATTTCTGGGACACTTTGGGGATATTTGGTTGATATTTTGGGGTGATTTGGGGATATTTGGGGATATTTTGGGGACATTTTGGGGATATTTTGGGGCTATTTTGGAGATATTTCTGGCACATATTGGGGATATTTTGGGGATATTTTGGGATATTTTGGGGTTATTTTGGGGATATTTTGGAGATATTTGAGGGATATTTCGGGGATATTTTGGGAACATTTTGGGGTGATTTTGGGGATATTTTGGGTGTATTTAGGGGATATTTTGGGGATATTTGAGGGATATTTCAGGAACATTTTGGGGATATTTTGGGATATTTTGGGAACATTTTGGGGATATTTTGGGGTGATTTTGGGGTGATTTTGGGGATATTTTGGGGTGATTTTGGGGTGATTTTGGGGATATTTTGGGGTGATTTTGGGGATATTTCAGGAACATTTTGGGGTGATTTTGGGGATATTTTGGGGATATTTCGGGGATATTTCGGGAACATTTTGGGGATATTTTGGGGATATTTGAGGGATATTTTGGGGATATTTCGGGTATATTTCGGGAGCATTTTGGGGATATTTTGGAGATATTTTGGGGATATTTCGNATATTTCGGGAGCATTTTGGGGATATTTTGGAGATATTTTGGGGATATTTCGGGAACATTTTGGGGATATTTTGGGGATATTTTGGGGATATTTGAGGGATATTTTGGGGATATTTGAGGGATATTTTGGGGATATTTGAGGGATATTTCGGGGATATTTCGGGGATATTTCGGGGATATTTCGGGAACATTTTGGGGATATTTGAGGGATATTTTGGGGATATTTTGGGGATATTTCGGGAACATTTTGGGTATATTTTGGGGCTATTTTGGAAACATTTTGGGGATATTTGAGGGATATTTTGGGGATATTTCGGGAACATTTTGGGGCTATTTTGGG